TCGATAAAATTCTACAATGTCATTATATTTTTCTTTTTCGAGCTCATTATTCCCGATCCTGTTCCGATGACGCCGCGCAAAGAGCTCTCGAGTGATTGCGAGCACTCGCGACTCTCGATTAATGTGTGCTCGGTGCTTGAGCCTTGAAAAATGACAACGCTAGCCGCACTAGCGTTTGAAAGTACTAGGGATGCTTCTATTGTACGAGTAAAGCACTTGGCTTTTTATCTGAATGTAGACAAACTTAACATGCTACATCACCTCACTATCAGGTCATTCAGTATCTACTGCCGGAGCACGAGCCTATGATTTACCAGAAGTATATGGAGGATTTAGTCTATACTCCCCACGCTGGCCAGAATGGTTTGGCAGACCTGATGTTGGCATATTTCTTTTTAAAGATTATTAGTAGGTAATTTATATTGCAGAAATTACCTACTAATAGTCCCGTTAGCCCCTCGTGTTAAGCTAAATAAGCTTGTGTCACGAGTGGGCTCACCACAATAGTCGAGCGGCGGTGGGATTCGAACCCGCGTTCTCCGATCACGAGTCCGCCAGTCCGACCCCGTCACCGTTCGGCTATCATGGCTATAATGTCTTATCTTCATATTATATCCCTTAGTTAGACGCATTTTACGACATCCACAGGAAGAGTGGCACTCCTATTCTTCTCTACCAGAACAGCAAGGCATACATAGGTACAAAAAGAGTTTATACGTCAGTTATAAGGTAAAAGTAGGTTTTACCTTTTTCGACGAGGGCTCATTATTTCCGATTCTGTTTCGGCAGTGACGCCGCTTCGATTAATGTGTGCTCTGAGCTCAGGACTTGAAAAATTACAACGCTAACTCACTAATGGAGCTCGCGTTACAAAATACTAGAGTAAGAATTTATGTCCTTTGTTACCTTTGGACCGACCGCAAAGATAATCTGGTTGAACCTTGGGCATTTTTTTGGCTCTGGTTTTATTAATTGGTCCACGGGCAAAGGACTGATTGCGTTGAACCAAGGGCTTCTTTTTAAAATTGATTTTTAAAAAGAAGCTTTGAATCCCTTCAGGTAGATTATATATTTTTCTTACTTGTGTAAGATTGAATGATTCTTAATAAAAAAATTATAGCTGCTCGTGGCTATCTAACAACTGAAGAACGACATAGACCAAAGGCCAGTATGATATCAGAAAAAAATCGTGCGCGCATTCTTTAATACGCCGAATAGGGTAAATATTCCTTTTTGCATCCATCTCCTATTCTCGCTGACTCTGCCCCATCCCTACACTTGCTTTGCTCCTCGGCTTGTAGTGGAAGTGTTTGCATGCACATCCGCGTTTATATTGCGTCGTGACACTGCATACCATTTCCGACTCATTCCAACATTTTTAACCAAACTCGACGCCAATATTGGAGAGCATTCCGAATATTTGGCAAGTGAACCTTGCCCCGAGTAAGTTTCAATAATGTCGATACATGCTTTCTAGGCGAGGCACTCCATTCAAAATTCGTAGCCAATCTATGTACGCCATCGTCCTTGCACGCGAAGCGAATGGAAATGTTAGATTTATAAAACTACTGACTTTTTTATAAAGTGCACACACGATAACGAGTGATACTCTGCTAAAATTAGAATTTGAAATTAAAATAAAGAAACACATTTCATAGAAACTTAAACCATCGCCCACTTTACTTGTTAAGAAAGCTTTCAGTTACGTTTACGTACGTTTAATGGTGAAATCGGTCCTTGATATTGTAATTTTTTATTCCGATGTAGGAAAAAAAGTTGCATTAAAGCAATCGATCTTTGTAAACTTCATAAAAATCTGTGCTGTAAATTACTCAGTAAGCTTTATTTTATGGAACTGACTTGATCCTCCCTAGATACAGTTCAACCGAAATAATTTGATCCGCCTATTAAATATTAATGACACTAACAAACCCGGGGTTGTCTAATCTGATGTTCAATTTCAGGAGTTAATTAACTTCAGATTTCAGTGAGTAGTCTGTAAAATTAGCCGGCTATATACTGTACAGATAGATGTTTATTTAGTTTTGTTTTAATTTCTGCAGTTGTGAAATGAGAGAAATTAGTTTAATAATAATAATTATATTTAAGCTGTTTTTGACTTAGAAGAGATTAAACTCTCACAATTTTATTTCACTTTGCAATCAAATGCTTTCATGGAGTGGACTCCACTGGACACCACAAGGAACATCACTACGAACGAAGTAACGACCTCCCGCTTTGTTCATGCATTGTCAGTCAAAAAGTAACATTGGTGAGAGAGAGAGAAAGAGAGAGAGAAAGAAAGAGGCGCTATAAAAATGGAATAATAAGACATAATAAGATTTTTTCGACCTAGATTTCATAATGAGGTCTATCTATCTATACTGTCTATACTAGTTTATACTTCTATACTAATATTATAAATGCGAAAGTAACGGTCTGTCTGTCTGTCTCGCTTTCACGCCTAAAGCACTAAATCGATTTTGATGAAATTTTGCAAAGAGATAGTTGAGTCCCGGGAAAGGACATAGGATAGTTTTTATCCCGGTTTTTGAAACAAGGACGCGCGTGATAAAGTTTTTCGGTGACAGACAAAATTCCACGCGGGCGAAGCCGCGGGCGGAAAGCTATTTCTAATAAACCAAAAAAAAGTTCTAAAGAAAACAACATGTAAGAAAAAATATTGTAATTTACCCTCTTCTATCTAGTAATGTGCTATTACCCTAACTTGTTCTGTTAGTTCTAAAGTCGTAACTCTCCCGGTCAAAGTCGGCGACTTTGCCCTCTGCTGGATGGGACGGAAACTATTCGGGCTATTACTAGTCGATTGGGGAAATGCATAGGTAGAGTTAGTTGAACTACGAGTATATCGCTGCTGTACAGTTGATCCATCACAAGAATTAGGTTACAAAATAATTCCATGGTATTACTTCAAAAGAACACGTGATTCTGTCCCTGAAACCCAATTAGTTTTAAAATACCTGTTACGTAGAATTTCTTTAGTTACCTTAGTCTCCCCGCAGTCTACCAACTTTTAGTCGGCCGATAGTTGGGCCCCATTCTAATTTGTGTGAAGAATGTGCGCACTTTCATTCATGTCCATACTGATTAACAGCCCGACCGAACGATCGGCGACAAAAAGTCGGTGGTCTGCGCCGGCTTATAAGTCAATTGAGGTGGCGAAAAGGTCTCGTCATAGATTGTTCAAACAAAAAGGGAGAAGCGGTTTTAATCGCCTTCTTAATAGCTCAGAAAAAGTATGTCAAATGATTAGTGCGTCAAGCACCTTATTAAAATGCAAGCGATCCTCTTTCAGATAAGCGTTTAATCGGAGTGTTTAGCCATTTACAGAGATTACACGCGCGGTATATCGTGCTCTAATAAGCCAAACGCGTGGTTCTTTGAGGAGTCTTAGGCGGAAAGTGTATTTCTTTGACAATTCGTAGAAAGTAGATGCGAGAGTCTAAAAGAGGTGCGCGTTTACGACCTTATGCGCCTAAAGACGTTTTTTAAGATGCCAATTTGTGTCAGAATGATCGCTTCATCACTGATCGTCAAGGTAGAAGGTCAAGCCAATAATAGAGCAAAAACTCCTGAACAAAGTGCCTTAATACATATTTCAAGTAAAGAGAAATGTAAACGAGAAAAATCTTAAAAATAATGATAGTTATAGAGTCCTTCAGCAAAATAGAAGCTTATTTACTTTAATAACATCATGGAAGTTATTTTTTATTACAGTTCCTTTTCCGTCTGCCTGCCTCCATTTACGGGCCATTGAGCAATAAAATCGTTAAAGTTAAAGTAGTTAGTAGTCTAACTGGACAGACCATGTCTATACCGAAGGACTGAAGTCAATGTCTTCGAGTTAAATTGGCAATCAGAATTAGAAACTTTTTTTTTATTTTAAGATTAACATGACTGGGTAAAGCTGGGTTGCTCCATCTTATTTGAACTTAATTTGAAACGTCGAAAGTCTGTCGAATTCTATACAAAAAGACGGGTTATGGTTACAGTTACGGTTAAAGTAAGGTGGTACAACTCAGCCTAGGACTCCTAAAATCGTTTGCTTCAACTTCTACCAACATTCTTCGATACAATTTCTTCAAAATGTTTTTACTCACCAGAATTGCCAGAATACACCGCGTCAATGTTCATGTTGTATTAAATACCCTTTGAGTGTCGTGTCATAATAAACACCGCGAATTTTTCCCGAATTATCCTCCCAAGAAAATATCTTTGTCATTCCGAAGATGAAAATGATAAATAATTCATCATTCGGGCCTTACTTAGACTAAGTACACCATATTTCACATCGCCAGGCCCTTCTGTAGATGCGACATAAAATACAGCCGGGGTAATCCTATCCATCTATGATTTATATCTACGAAGGGTCAGTGTAGAAATTTCATAAGCGGTATATCATAATTTCATATGCAGAACTGTATTATAGTTCGCGCCAACAGGCCCCGAGAATTTCGTAAGTAATGTCCTATGACAAAAACAACTGAAACCTACTGAACTCTTTGTAATTTGTTGACATTATTTCATGCATCAAAGGTTTACTAAAATAATTTAGGAGAGTATAGAGTATTTTTATGTAATACTAGCTGTGCCCGCGACTTCGTCCGCGTGGAATAATGACTTTGGGTAGGCACTTTTAATAATTTAGTCTAATTATTTTACAAATAGCTTTTGCCCGCGACTTCGTGCGCGGAGAAGTCGAAAACGTTCTCATACGATTTTTAAATGTTTTAACGTTATTATCTAAATGTTTGAATACTTATAAAATATAAAAATCTTAAAGGTTAAATAAACATGAAAATAAATGTTTCTTATATTTTATGATTATACTTCGGGTCTCAACCGAAGACGATTAATAATTACTTGCAGCATTACATGAGATGTTGCTATCTTCGTCACACCTTTAGAGTTATAATGTAAGAAAGTATTTTCTGTCCTACTCCCACCTTGCACCGACTGGCAGCCCCGCGTCACCTTATTTCATTACGTGTTTTTGTGTTATCGGAATCACACCTCGCATTCGGGAAATAATTATATTTTGAATAATTATGGGAAAACGAAAGCGTTCTAGATCTAGGGATAGTGATTATGATAGTATATTACGGAAAATCAAGAAGTTGGAGTCGAAATTACGAAAAAGACGGCGCCTATCATCATCGGCATCGGTGGAAGGAGAAAGTGATTCTTCGTACTATAAGAGATACGACACACAGGAATATGAAAATCATAGTTTATTACAAGGTAAATTACAACATAATTAGAATCTACAAAATATAGAAATTGCACGGTTATAGAAAACCGAACTTCAACCTACCTACATAATATTTTTTATTGTGAAAACATATTTATTAAGTATAACGTTTTATCTACCTGTTCCGTACGAAATTATCGTAAGTTTTAATATTTGAAAATAGTGTTGAGGCATTTTTTACTCCACGTACATCGTGTTGAGGATATAATACTCGTAACTCCACTTTAACAGTGTTGAGGCAGCTCCACGTAATTCGTGTTGAGGACAAACAAACTCCACTTTAATAGTGTTGAGGCTACTCCGCTTTAGTAAGCGTTGAGGCTACTCCGCTTTCGTGAGCGTCGAGGCTACTCCACGTAAACCGTGTTGAGGATTAATTATACCTACTCCACTTAATCTGTGTCGAGACACCTATAGGTACTCCACGCAAAGCGTGTCGAGGGTATACTCCACTTTAAAAGTGTTGAGGTCTTCAAATTTGTATAGTTAAATGCTAAATGTATTCTTCCATGCTAGTTATGGTTAAAAATAGAATACTTACGCTTATTATTGCTCCTTGACAGCGGAAAATTACGCAGATGATAACGCTGACATCTACGGCGACTACCAACCCGAGTCAACAGAGCCACTTGCCGGACCATCTACGTCGATACCTGCGCCAACGACAGAACCCGAATCTGTGACACACACAGTACCTGCGTCTACGCAAGCGGACCCGTCGAGTGTCAACGCAAATGACGCTCCGGCAACATCTATTTTGGATGAAAATACACCTTCATTAGACCCAGAGATTCTTCAACTGCTTGGCGAGGACCCCACCTGCCAGAAAAATCATGGAGAGAATCTACATAAGGATATCGCACCTAGATGGGCACATATATTAGCTAACGGGCTTTCTAAAGAGATTCAATTAGATCTAATAAAATGTTACTTACCACCAGAAAACTGCCCAAATATGAGAGCCCCAAAACTCAATTTGGAAATCAAAGCAGCTCTGTTGGAAACGAACATTAAAAAAGATTTATACAGCCAAAGCAAGCAAAATCAACTTGCTAGTAGTCTCTCTGCTATAGGAAGAGTTTTGAATTGGGCCCTGGCATCAAATAGTACTGTTCCTCAAGATATAATAAAGGCATTGAGTGACGCCGGCAGACTCATATGCGACAGCCACTATAAAGAATCCCAATCCAGGCGTTATGCGGCACTGAGCACTCTTAATAAGGACATAAGAGATACTGTCAAAAATACAACTATTGACGAACATCTTTTTGGTTCCGCATTATCAGATCACATTAAGTCTTCGAAGGCAATAAGCAAGACGGGGTCGGAAATCAAACAAAAGATTCAACGTCCTACGTATAGGGCCCCGACAACAACAACACAGCCTCGGGGCGCTTTAAACTCGAGGGGGGCGCCGCCGCGCGTAGCAGCAGCGGTCGAGCCGCGGACGACCCCTGCACCGCGCCGACCGCCGAGGGATCGCCGCCTGGAAGCGCCGCGAGGCCGCCGCTCCACCAACCACGCGCGGCAGCAGACGAGGAGACGATAGGAGAAAGTCCTCAGGTATGCGTTGCTGGTCGATTGACTCACTTTTATGACAGATGGTGTGAGCTCACTAATGATCGTACAATTTTAAATTGGGTTCAAGGATACAAAATCCCCTNAAAACTTTGAAATAATGAAATAAGGTTACGCGGGGCTGCCAGTCGGTGCAAGGTGGGAGTAGGACAGAAAATACTTTCTTACATTATAACTCTAAAGGTGTGACGAAGATAGCAACATCTCATGTAATGCTGCAAGTAATTATTAATCGTCTTCGGTTGAGACCCTCGCATAATTGGAATCAAACTTCACCAGGTGAGTTCGTTTGATTCTTAAATATGCAGCTCGGCCATTGATCCGATGAAAGTTACTCGGTGGTATTATCTTTTTACTACGAAATCGAAAACTACACCTACCGCAGTATTATTGGTAAACTTTTTTTTTATTTTCCTACGGGTGCTAGAATCACCAAGCTTCTAGCATGCCACTGGCCGTGGGAGAAGGAGCTTTTCCTCAAGACTACTCCCACGACCTCAAGGGCCTCCGCCAAAACTCTCGCGCGAAAATGAGTTTTTGTATATACAGCGCAAGCAGGTGCCCGCGGCATGACCGTCATGCATTACTATGCATTGTTAGGCGAGCGCACGCAGCGGGCACCCGCTCCGAGGTTAAGTGGAGGCCCCTAGAGTATGATAGTCTGTAACATGACATGATTGTAAAAAAAATGCACTAATGAGTAGGTATATTAATATCAACTTTGAAGCAAATCACCACTAAAATAACTTTCTACCCCTTTTTAACATAGTTAGGGGGTGCATTTCACTAAAATACGAAACACATCTTCCATTAATTCTGTTATAGAATGGTTATGCGAAATTTGAAGTAGATTGAACGAAGGAATCTCATTATCCCATACAAACTTTGCCATCCCTTTTTACCTCCTTAGGGGTAGAATTTTGGAAAATCCATTCTTATCAGATGCTTACGTCTTACAAAGAACACACCGTCCAAGTTTCAGGTCTCTACGATCAGCGATTTAGGCTGTGCATTGATCCATCAGTGGCGCGCGCAGTACTTGATCATTATTTTGCTGCGATGATATTTTAAAACTGCGATATCTCCTAAGATATTTATTGAAATCGAATGGTGTAAAGGCCAAGTATGTTTAAAATTAAATACTTGTGATGAATAACTTATTTATTTGGATAAGGATTAATATCATGTTTATGAAAAAACCTCCGCAAATAATGCATTAATATAAAACAGATTTCTTTTTGCATAAAAAGGGTTACTATGAGCCAACCTTAAAAGATAGACATATACTATCGCGGACTTTTTTTTAGAACTTTTAAAGGGGAACAATCCTGTCATACATGATTTTTGCGAAATTTTAACCGTTTACGCAGCGTCAGCTCTCAAAAGGAAAAAAATCACTGATTTGAAACATTCTTCATTGGTGCTCCGCTCCTATTGGTCTAAGCGTGATGATATATAGCCTAAAGCCTTCAGGAACTAACGGGCTATCCAACACAAAAAGAATTTTTCAAATCGGTCCAGTAGTTCCTTAGATTAGCGCGTTCAACCAAACAAACAAACAAACAAACAAACAAACAAACAAACTCTTCAGCTTTATAATATTAGTATAGATAACAATCTTACGAATGGTACAATATAGGTAAAACGACGTTTGCTTCATGGAAGGGTGATACTGACACTGGAACATTTCATAGAGCGGCTCTTTGTTCTGTTACAAGTAAATGCTCTAGCCCAGTGTTCCGCAAACGGTGTATCGCGGCACACTGGTGTAACGTGGTCATTAGATGGTGTGCCTTGGAAAAATAAGATTATTTATTTATTTTATTTTGTTCGGAAAACATACAGTGAAACAATACCAGATTAATAACCACTGCTTAAGAAACTATACACCATTTACATGTTTTCACATATGTGTAGCAATACAATAAACAACAAAAGCCTAATTTGCTTACATGAGAGAGTTATTTTTAAATTAAGATCTATACCTACATTAAACAGTATCATATAAACTTATTTTTAGTAAGTAAGGGTAAGAATAATAAGGGTGTACCTCCATAAAAATTCGTATTCTTAGATGTACCTTCAAAACAAAAAAATTTGCAGAACACTGTTCTAGTCTATACTCACCTCCATAGAGACAACCTTCATAACAGTTCAGTGTCAAGACTTTATTTGTTAAAATTATTGCCAGTATCAGTTGGCGTGGACGAGATAGTGGATACGACCCGTCCCCGCCCGCATCTTAGTAATTTTCACTTGGATGCGTCTACGGCGTAGATACGGACAGCTTTTAAAGACATACTATTAGAGATATTGACTTTCGAGACGTTCTTAATTGGATTTGTAGTTCGATTCGATTGTGATATTAGACGGTATTATTTTAAGACCATTAGTTAAGATTTAGTCTATTTAGAACTATGTAAATAGAGCTGACTTTTGTTCGTCAAAAATGTTATTGTTGGATACACATGCATTAATAAAGTTGGATAACGTTTTAATGACTGTGAGCCTTTGTAGTATGTTAATTGAAACAGTCAATTAATTCCCCATGTAATTTCAGTCGAAAAAGGGATGTATTCCAATTGAACATCATCGGAGCGTTCTTAGCGTTTTCATTGTTTTAATTTAATTAATAAATTAATTGCTTGTCAAGTACAGGAAAATACTCTGTAAACCCTTTTGCGAGCGTTTAAATAATGCTCACATTAGATGTTTGTGTCTACCCCCTGTTTACATACCCGGAAGAAGGGGGGAGGAAGAAGGCAACGTTTCATTTACGTAGAACAGTTGGACGCGTTTTGAGAACTTATGAATTATAAATAGCTGAGTCCCCTGTTATTAGTGTAAATATTGTTGTTTTAGTTATTGTGCACAACTAGCGATCGACTCGGTTTTGAACAGTTATAAAAATAAATAACTGGTGTGACTGGATTAAGAAAGCGCTTCGTGGGATAGGCTTACGATCACAAGTTACTGAAATGATGAAAAACAAACTTTCTCAGGACTCCGTTTGAGTAGATTTCGTTGCACCATCTTACTTTGTCTGTAACAAAATCTGTCAAGCTTCATACAAAATACACCGGTTATCGTAATATTTACTGTTATAGTTAGGTGCAGCAACTCAGCCTAAGAAAAATTTTTACTGAAGAAATAAAAACATTCTATTTATCCTCACAAACTTCCACGTTTGTACATGTTAACATATTTTAAGTAGGTATTGGTAGGTACTTATTACTTTCATACATTCTGCTCGTGCCTTTTCCCGTTTAAGTCCCGTCTCGTGATCAAAGTAAAGGTTTTCAAGTTACTTTCACATTGAATAGGTATCTATTAGTATAGATAATATCGCTTTGTACTCAAACCTCTTTGCTAATATTCAATAAGAATTCTTAATTTGCTAAAAGTTGTAATGATTAAAAGGGTTTTTGAGAATATAAAACATTAATATGTTTCAGTTTTAAGACTGGGTTTCACCATCTTTAACAAACGTCAAAAATCTGTCAAATTCCATACAAAAAGCACCGGTTATCGTTATAGTATAGTTAAAGTTAGGTGGTGTAACTCAGTCGAAGTTAATTCCTGAAAATAACGTAAAAACAAATGTTGAAACACACGCCAAATGCAGTATGTACAACTTCATTTTCTGTTTAAATTTTTATATTTAATTTTATTCTCCATTCAGCATTGTAACCACCAATTAAGAAAGAAATACCAACCTTAACCTTTGAGTTTTGTTTGTTGAAGGCAAATCAATCGGTATCGTTGTGTAAAAACACTTTTTTACAAAAGGAACAAAGCGAAATTGGAAACAGAAGAAATATCAATCTGTCTTTGTAATTATGGACTGACTTCAGAGGCTCAGAATGTTTGACAAAATTAGAATCCATTCTTGTTGGCATTTTAATTTAATTTATCGCAATTCCGATTGCTTGTGAACGTTGAAATAATTAAAGTTAAGTATTTTATGTTTCTAGTCTTGTTGAAACATTTGAGTATTTCTTTTTAAGTTGTGTACCTTATTTTTTCTGAAATTAGTCTGTCGCGTACCTATTAGAGATTTGAGTTATTAACGTCCAACTACGATCTTACTATTTCTTTCAATATTTTCTATACAGCATTTATGGCGTTCTGTCACATAATCTGAGAGCTTAGTACGAGTAAGTCAATCCAATGGTTTGGAATCGAATCCGTTTTATTATATGCGTTTTCACTCTGGTCTAATCACTATCATCTCTTTGATACGCGTCGATATCTTTTGTCAACATTATCTTTTGGTCTATCTACGTAGTTACATCTTATCATTGTTTCCTGCTTTACAAAATAATTACAACTTAGTGATGGCAGAATTTTCAAAATAGCCTCCTGTTTTTATTTAGTCAGACCCTGTAAAAACGAATCGGCTTAATTTTGAAATATCTAAGTCAGGTCTAAGGACGATCATTTAAAGCTCGATTTAATTATGTAAACAATTATGAAATTTCATTTTTTACAGCGCCATAATTTGTCAAACTTTGCTTAAAGCTAAAAATTTATTGATCGTCACTTGTCTTTACCCCGAACTCGAAGATTTAACATAATATTATAAGGTATTTCGGAAGCCCTTCACGTAAGCGTCGAAAAGTTGTTTACTCAACTTTTGATTGCCTTCTTTACTCTGTTTGTTTACTTTTTTACTCAGAATGGAATTATGATGAAACTTTTTTCGTTAAAGGCTCAAAGATACATAAATGGGTTTAGAACTTGGCGTGGGTTTACTAAAATTTGTTTGTTCGGGCATTTTTTTTGAGATTTTTACTTTTTGCTTCCGTTATTTATTGTTATTTGATTCTCGTGCATTTTCGAGTATGAAGGGTGAACTAAAATGTGCACAATATTGATAGGAATGTTATAAATTGTATTTTTTAAATATTTATGACACAGGTTTAGTTTTTGTATGTGGACGCTTAAACACTGAAACATGGCTATTGTTGTAATGTTTTTTACAGTTTACCTACAGTGGAAGTGTTTCCAAAATAAAAAACTATTTTCCATTTGGAATTTTAGCCCGTTTTGTTGTCTACGTAAGTAATGTAAAATATTTAAATTGTTTTTTTAATTGTCTACTACACTACACACTGTTAAAATTAATGAAAACCAGATTAAGTAGGTAGGTACCTATTATTCATTCAGATGTTTTTTTATGCAGAACAAAATTATCATAATCAAACTTAAAGTTTTTAACATAATAATTGTGGTTTGAAAAAACAAATACATACTATCTCATGTATGTATTTCATTGGCGGGTTAAGTTGAGAACACCGCCATCTTGAAAACCGAACCAATCTCTTTACGTAACATGCAGAAAATGCATGTCGACATTACATCCCGTAAACCGCGTGCTATCTAAGCTAATGCAGATTGAGATAGTAGCACAATGTTCATCTCTAGGTGCCATTTATAGGCGTGATTACGTAGCAGACAGACCTTCTTTATCTATAAAAGAGAACGGTCACTGACTGACTGACTCACTGACTCATCACGAAATCTCAGAAACTTCAAGTGCTAGGAGTCTCAAATTTTGCATGGGGGTTCCTTTTTGAACGTAGGTGCTCACTAAGAAAGGATTTTACCCCTAAGAGGGTAAAACGGGATCCACGCGTATGAAGTGGCGGGCGGCCGCTAGTATACAATATTAGCATACATAACCACCGCATTAGGTATGTATTTATTTTGACTGAGGTGTAAAGTTAGTCGTATAAGTTTTACACAGTGCGAGCTATACGGCTCGTCTTAGCAACATACTTTTATACATACTGCGCCTTGGTGCCTTGTGAAAACAATTCATTCAGTATTGATTTTGCGATCGCTTATGTATAATATTGAAGGAGAGATATTGTGAGGAAAATGTATTTTTTAATTATTGACTTTTTCATTTAACGTAGGTAGTCTCCGAATCACGGCGAAGTGTCTTGAATAAGTTAGTCGCATAGATTGAAACTACCCATTATGTATTATTAGTAGTAAAATTTTCTTCGAATTTTCATACACTACGAAGGTTTAATTTATAAAAAGATGTCTGCCATATTACTCTTTCCTATAGAGAAATAATGGTACAGCTGCAATTTCGTGCCCCCATTGAAACAGCCCAATAGTTCATCACTTTCTATCGTGGTTATAAAACTCCACCGCTCCAGCAATATACCACAAAAGCTTGGTTCAAAACCAGCTGGAGTGTTTTCATTTAAGCCTGGCAAAGCAAACTGTGGTTGAAACCAGCTGCCTTTTTCACTTTAAGGCGGGTTAAAGGTTAAGCCCGTGCTAAACTGTTTTAGGTCCAGTAAGCCTATTCGGGTAAAAGTGTAGCGAGGCTCTAAGGCCTTGATCACGCTAGCGTTTTATGCGCTTTTTAGAAGCTTGTGATGATGGGGTGTCTGATGAATATTTAGCTACTTCACAGCACCAACCAATTGACTCCAACCAAATCACTCAATTTATTTGACAGTCATAGCAACTATGAAACGCAATTGCGAATTGCCTCCAAAAAGCTAAGTGAACTCTGAATCAAATTAGAAAGTTATGTTGTGGTAGTTAGTTATTTCTATATAGATAATATTTCTAAAATAATATTTTAAAACTAATTTATTTATTTATTTATTTAAAACTTATATGCACATAGAACGGTGTACATAAGGCGGACTTAATGCCCTTCGGCATTTTCCTCTAGTCAACCTTAGGGCCAAACTGAGAGTAAAGTAGGCGGTATAAAATTACTATGAATATAGAAAAAAAAACATAAATAACATATGAATACATACATAGATACAAACATATATAATATAATAATAAGATGTTATTTATGTTCTCTTACTACAATCGTATTGTAGTAAGAGATATATGGTGACTATGACATATGTGGTGACTGAGTTTGTTGCGGCGCTTCTTCTCAGCACTTGCCAAATGTTTGTCTCGAAGCGCTGGTAGGGCAAAAAAAGAATGAGACATGTATAGGCTCCTTAAGAGCATTTGACGATTTGCAAGAACTAATTTAATTAGTCTAAACAAATAAAGATAATTTTGATTTTGATTTTGATTTTGTATTCTCTATCTAACATCCGTAGTCTGCAGCAAACTGCAGCGCTGCGGTATTTTTCATCAAATCCTAAGCCAATAAAGCGTTTTTTGTACGCGCCGTCAAACATTTGCTCTAATTACCGAATTTGCAGTTTAGTTCAGAGTCCGAATCGTTCAGTAAATAGCTAGACATATCAATCCTCATTAGTGTTCTTATTTTAAGAGACGGTGAACTAAATACGTATGTGTGGGTTTAAATTAGTTTTCTTTTCTGAAGGATCTTAATGCAAAACTGCAGCGCTGCGGTACTTTTGCTCAAATCCTAACAAAACAAGTTCCGATATAGCGTTTTTGCGCTCGCGGTGATGCAGCGGCCGCGAAGCAATTAAACACTTGCTCTAATTATCGAACTTGCTGTTTAGTTCCGAGTCCGAATCGCTCACGAGATTTATTGCTTCCCTAGATTGATGCTGGCTAGCTTAATGAAAGTTTAGGGAAAAATACCTACTTAATTCTCGTTAAAAGGAATTAACGGAACGTTGAGGATTTAATAAAATAATCACAAAGTTTATTTTGCCTTCGGTTGCACCATTTTGCCAATAAAACACTGATTAAAGTTATAGTTACGGTTAAAGTTAGGTGATGCAACTCAGCCTAAGATTTCACAGATGTCGCACACTGACTTCTTGCTTTCTAATTAAGTAGGTTCTATTTCAGCCACTAAGTTCAGATTTTAATTTATTTTGATTTTAGTATAACACTTTTTAATTAATGCAGGTACGGTTTCAACGAATTCATTTTATTCGGTTCTCATATTACGACATCAGAAGTATTACCAGTATTACGGCTCAAAAGGTTATTTTTAAAAATATGGCAGCCGTGTTAACACGTTACACACCTCCGCGCATAATTGTCGCCTGCAGGCGTAGGTAACGCTTGGGAAAATGCAAGATTCAATTTATCCTTGATAGCTAATTTGCTCCCCTCGTGACATTAAGTACACTTACGCACAGAAGTTGAATTGGTATCTTGGTATTTATTTATCCCGCTACAAGGCAAAGGCCTGCAGATTCTACAATCATCATAGTCAGTGACCAATATTTATCATTTATTTTGTTCTTTAGACCTTCGAAATAGTTACACTACTTTTAGATTTTATTTTAACAGAAGAGTTCTGATAACACGACCAGTTTCGTATATCAAATAGCATTTACAAGATGCTATAGCTTAATGAGTTGCGTGCTGTCGTAGTTACTACTAATTACCTAATTAATTACATTCAAATAAGTGTATAACTTGGCAAATTACATAATATATAGATTTCCCCTTGATATAAAAAGCCATTGATAGTTGTTTTCTATACGTGTGTACTCTTAAATAACTCGAGGCAAATAATATGATTCTATTATATTAATATGATTTATGTAACATGGTATAATTCCCAATCTTCTGATAATATTTGAGATTAGCTATTATGGGACTGAAATTCAGTTTAGGCTGGTAACGTTACGTAGTATTTATTACGTTACCTTTACAAATCGTTAGACCGTGGCTGCCACTGAAGAAGTTCTTCTGCCTCAAAGGCCATTAGTTCTACGGAAGGTTCTACGAAGGAAGAACCTGGATGCGGACAGCGCAGGACCGGTCTTTGTGAAAATCCTTGGGGAAGGCCTTTATCCAGAAGTGTACGCCCTTTGATTGAAACGAACGTGTTAAGTACCTACATGATTAATTCATTTAAAAATCGAAATTGAGAATATAACATAAACTCATAAAACACATTTATCTCTGTAAATAAGCTTAAAAAAAGCACTTTTACACGTCCCAGTATTTTAATCCTACCACTGCTTCAGGGCAATAAATGGGCCAATGCTGAGAAGAAGCAGCGCAAGAAACTCAGTCACTGTTGTCAACTATTTAATTGTTAAACTGGCATTTTTAATTATTGTATCGCCTGTGTTCTAGCAGATTTCTGGGAATTTACTTCGCAGTGGTCCCACAGGAGCAGTATAGCGAGGCTATCGGGAATACGTAATATTATGCTTGCATTGTGAATTGCGACCCAGGGGAACTTAATATTAATGTTACAATTTGAGCGTCACTGCACGATTTAGTCTTATTGTTTTACAAAACTCTTCTATTAAGGCCGGGTAACAGAGAANGGAAGTTTCTTCACCCTGGTTGGTTGACAGTAAATGACAGATAGATAGATGTTTTTTATTGAATTTACGCCTTTGGATTATGTCTTTTCTGTCCGTCTGTGGTCTCGCCAAATCTTGCTTTTAGTTTTTTTAGCATGTGTATTTAAAACTTAATACAAATTAAGCAAGTCCAGCGCGTGTTTTGCCCTACGCCCTACTACAAGATTAATAAAAAATCTTGTCATCATTCAACTGCAATTTTGTTGAAAGTTGATAGATTGTTGTTGATTATGTAGGGCAAAACCTCAAAACACACGCTGGAGACCTCGTTGTTGTAAGCAAAGAAAGAACATTCTATCCTCAATTTTCATTACGTGACAAAGAAACAATCCGTTCGACATCTTTTCTTGGTTTATGTAGGAAATGTTTGTTGGATTGCAATTGATGTTGTTTTTGTTGAATGCGTATGGCAAAACATGCGTTGGAGACTCTTTGGTGTCAGGCATAGACAAGAAAGAGGTACTGTCAGGTTTTAATCTGTATCTGTCATCTGTACTTGTCAATTTATAACTGGCTGTTGGTTGAAGAAAAAAATTTTCATCTCTTGTTGATGCTGCATGGTTGTTGTTTTACAAAAATATTAAAATAAATAAATATTTGCTGATATAACCAAAAGTTCAGACGTGAGTACTTATTTTCTTTTTAGATAAAGCAAATTTTAGAATAAATGAAGCCTAAGTAGGTAGGTATCGAGGGTTTTATTCAGAAAAATATATTTTTTGCACTTTTTAGCAAGTACCTACCTTCATACAAAAGTAATAAGAATTTACCAAAATATTTTAAATTTATTTTTTATATCATTTAATAAATTAATTATATCTATGACTTGTTGGCGCCGAAGTAGATATCTATTACCACGCAAACGTTTCAATTTTGTGCAATTCAGCAGTTACAATTTTAGCTGCATTCACTACTAATAAGTTAAATTAACTTAACATTATTATGTCACAGTCCATCGTTGTGTAGTGTGCCATACATAGGTTTAACTTGTAAAGCCTCCTTTAGAATCTCCCGCGCGAAATAGTGTCTAGCAGTGTTTAAGTTATTTGGTACCTAAACGTGACTGATTCCCTGTTGCCGATCACAAATATAGTTAGAAAACCGTATTCTACCGCAAAAGTACACGAGAGTGGACAGTGGACACGATCAGACTGATCGTTCTGCGTTAATCGCCGCTTCGCCCGCGTGAAATACAGTTTATCAAACACATAGGTACTTGAATTATCGTTTTAATTTCGCTAATTTACTCACTATCGTTGTAAATTATGGCTTACATGTTATCCTTAGGTCTGAACAATAATATTGTAAAGTTCAGTGGTTTTTGCACCAAACATTCATCTATCCACACTTTTGTCTATAAATAGTAGTACCTGGGAAGTAGGATACATTAGTTCTTGCAATTCAGGAAGGCGAGTGAGCTTCACATGTGAGGTGGCTCACTGGTCGTTTTTCAGAAGTTTTGATAGACATATCACTATCGTTATGCGCATATACACATTTCAGTAAAGCTCACTCACCTTCGTGATTTCCAAGAACTATGATAGGATTTTTTTTTGTGATGTCATTCTTTGCATTTCAGGTGATAATGGCGGATCCTAGTAAAGGTCGTGGCCGGGGCTTGGCCTTGCTCCAAGCCCTAAAGAAATCACAAATGATAGACTCCCCACCTCCATCTGAAGAAGTATCACCTATTCAGACACCTGCCGGTCCCAGCACTGCGCCTAGTGAGGTGAGCAATATTGTAATGTAAAATGATCTTTAAGTTTTTAACCTTAAACCTCTTATTCATAGAGCAGAAAAGATTAAGCAGTAAGCAAAAAAAATTTTTACACGATCCGCACCTGTTTCTCATCAACATAGGGTTAGATCTGAGCAAACGTAAAATTACAAGTCTGTTAAAATACTTCTTGGTTATTCCTTTATCGAATCAGTTTAATTTCTATCGAATAAAGTATGAACAGTTATTTTGGTTTATTTTTAGGTCAGTGCTCCTGCAGTTGGTGGGAGAGGACGTATCGCAGCCATGATGCTGGCAAAGATGCAGCAAAAACCTGGGGGTGAGTATGCAGTAAACATAAAAACATTCATACAATAAATAAATATCCTTGGACATTTTACACTGCGCTTCTATAGTCTGGTCTGCGAGCACGTAGAATTTTGTCCAATGACCCCAAGCTACCTAATTATGTTGCTGTCGCGCTCGCACACTCACTGCGGCCGCCCGTCGCACAGTCGCGACAGTTATACAGGGTGTTTGGCGCATCGTGTGCCAAAATGATTTGGCAGATAGAATGGGTCATTTCCTATATTTTCAGCCCCCATAACACGTTCCATGCCAGGCGGCTACTTTTATATTAATTTTTTTAGTAATTTCACCAAAATACCCAAATCGCATCATTTAATTTCGATTTAAAAAAAAAACTACTAAGCGTAGCCTCAAAGTAAATATTTTGTTTTGACGTGCATTGATGTAGGGTTGCATCAAATCTAAATTTACTGGCAAATATCATCTAGTTTCTTTTTAATTCAGATTTGAAGTTTTCCGAAAAGTTTAAAATGGACTGAACATTTAAGTTAACATGGCTTTAAAAAAAAAAAAAAGAGGTAGCGATCTTCGGATTTTATCAAAACTTCTCTAGTCTATCCTCATTCAAACGGTATACTAATCTTATTTAAATAATAATAATAACTTCACAAATTCCTTAAATTAGTGCATTGACTCTACTCGGACTGATTTGCGAAATTTGTGTTTATAGCCCCTTTTTGTGTGAATAGCACGTTATTAAACACCTAACAGGGAAAAATTATTTATCTTATGCAATGTAAAAACCTTTTCCCTATCGTTTTTAATGTGGATTTCGTGAAATTAAAGACGAAAATAATTATTTTGATCGTTTATTAATTATTACAAATTTTGTTCAAAATGACCGCCTCGGCAACGTATACACTCACGACATCTTCTTCTAATTTTGACTGTTGTCGTATGCAGCCACATTTCTCTTTTTATTACTACAAAGGCGTTTTCTACTCGTGGATTAGAAGAGATGACCCTATACAGTGGCCTGCACGTTCCCCAGATCTAATTCCGTTAGATTTTTAAGTCTGGGGACGAGCTAAAGAACTGGTGTACGTAACGGATTCAAACAATAGAAGAACTACAACAACGAATAAAAAACGCCTTTGTAGTAATAAAAAAAGAAATGTGGCTGCATACGACAACAGTCGAAATTAGAAGAAGATGTCGTGACTGTATACGTTGCCGAGGCGGACATTTTGAACTAAATTTGTAATAATTTAATAAACGATCAAAATAATTATTTTCGTCCTTAAATTCAAGAAATCCAAATTAAAAAACGATAGGGAAATGGTTTTTACATTGCATAAGATAAATATTTTTTACCCGTTAGGTGTTTAATAATGTGCTTTCACACAAAAAGGGGCTATAAACACAAATTTCGCAAATCAGTCCGAGTAGAGTCAATGCACTAATTTAAGGAATTTGTGAAATTGTTGTTATTATTTAAAAAGATTAGTATACCATTTGAATGGGGATAGACTAGAGAAGTTTTGATAAAATCCGAAGATTGCTATCTCTTTTATTTATTTTTTTATAGCCATGTAAACTTAATTGTTCTGTCCATTTTTAACTTTTCGGAAAACTTCAAAGTTGAATTAAAAAAAACCTAGATAATATTTGCCAATAAATTTAGATTTGATGCAACCCTACATTAATGCACGTCAAAATAAAATATTTACTTTGAAGCTACGCCTAGTAGTTTTTTTTTTAAATCGAAATTAAATGATGCGATTTGGGTATTCTGGTGAAATTAATAAAAAAATTAATTTAAAAGTAGCCGCCTGGCATGGAACGTGTTATGGGGGCTGAAAATATAGGAAATGACCCATTCTATCCGCCAAATTATTTTGGCACACGATGCGCCAAACACCCTGTATAATAGGCTAGTTGCCTAAAAAAATTTTTTTAGTCCGTAATGTTTAATATCAAAAAATATTGGACACATATATTTTTATTTGTCAATCTAACAAATAATTACATAGTTATGGTGCGTTGAAGTTGCGCACGACGTCACAACGTGCGGCATTTTTAAGCAAGCGTTGACGTCACGGGCCTCTTCTTATGAACTTTGGGGCGCTTTATCTCTTTAAATTTTCATTAGTTTGAAAAAGTGAAAAATACGTGTAGAGTATTTTTTGATAAGTTAACTGACGGACTAATTAAAACTCTTGCTTTTTGACCCAGGCAACATCCCCATTACGCGCGAGCGATAAGGATGGGTAGCTTGGGATCATTGGACAGAATTCTACGTGCTGACAGACCGGGCTTTAGTCCCAAACTAAGTAAAGCTTGTACTATGGGTACTAGACAACGGATATGAACATACTTAAATACTTTTTTTTTTGTAAATACATACATATTATACATAGAAAACACCCAGTCCAATACAAACAAATATGTTCATGCACACAAATGTTTGTACTGTGCGGGAATCGAACCCGCAACCTCCGGAATAGTAGTTCGTTTCGAACCACTACTCCAAAAACGGCCGACAATAGTTTGAATATTTTTGTTCCTTTTTACTCACATTGTGAAGAAAACTCTGAATTCTGAGGCATTTCCTAATTTGGCCACATCATGTTTTGAAATTCCTGTCTGTGTAAGCATTTGGTATAGCTGTATGAATTCTTAAAAATAAAATAAATTAACTTTGAATTGACTATTCTATTTTAGCTCCTACATTCAGTCCAGCATCAGATGTGAGTCCGTCCTCCAATACATCGGCTGCCAAAGGCGCTGGGCGTGGTATTAAGCTCCTACAAACTCTGTAAGTATCAATAAACACAGTGAAACTATAAAAAAAACTGCTTAATAGGGATATGCAAGGTTTTTTTATTTTCTCACATTTCAGTAGCATCGCCATTATCAAATCATTCAATACTTTTCTACAAACAAAGTCTTAAAAAATACCTAAGATTATACACATCTGAAATCTTGTGACGTCACTTGACACAGAACAGACAGTTCCTTAAGAGTTACTATATGCCATGTGACGTCACGCTCAGCTATTTCCATACAAAGTTTAAATGCTTGTAACTTTTTTGTTTCCAGTTTGATTTCAATACTAGAAAATGTATGATTTTAAAGTGTATAATTATGATTTTAGGCAAGCAGCAAAAGCTGCGCAGGCAGCTGTAGGGCAAGGAGATGATGTTCAGCAACTGACAACAAAAATGGCGGAGAGTAGCATGTCTATAGTGACGGCAACAACTCAGTCATCGTCTGTCGCCAAAAACAAATATTTCGTAAGTTGAACTAATTAGACTTTCGTTTTGAGGCATTGATGTATTTTGGACGAAAAGATGTTCTGTAGCTTCCCGAACGCTGCCCAGCCGAGTTGGATTTGACGATTGACCTCTTTCTCGAGATTGGACCTACCTAGTTGAATCGTTTGTCCAAGGGTCAATCAGTGTGTGTTACCAGTGATGACATATGGCTCCGAAACGTGGCCTCTCACTATAGGCCATAAAGAAGCTCAAAGTTGCACAGCGTGCTATGGAAAGGGCTATGCTCGGTGTTTCTTTACGAGATCAAATCAGAAATTAGGAGATCCGTAAACGAAAAGTCACTGACATTGCCCGACGGATTAGCAAGCTGAAGTGGCAATGGGCAGAGCACATAGTACGCAGAACTGACAGCCGATGGGGCAGCAAAGTTCTGGAGTGGAGGCCACGTACCGGAAAATGCAGCGTAGGACGACCTCCACCCACAAGGTGGACAGAGGCTGCTACTGACCTGCCAATCTGGAAATCACTGAGGCCTATTTTCAGCAGTCGCCAAATTATTGATTTTTTTTTATTATTTTATGTTTACATGTTTATTGCAATTGATATTTACGTTGTTGATTCCAGAGAGAAGTAAAAGATTCAGCGCCAGTAGTCATGAAGGGTTCGTCTGGTACGCCATGCGAAGTGACCGCCAACTTTATCTACTTGAACTGTGAAGAAAACAACGTGTTTGAGTATGAAGTTAGGTATGAGCCGGATCAAGACTATAGAACTTTGCGGTTCAAGCTATTGAATGGTAAGAAACATTATAATTGTGTTGTCACTTTTAATGTATTATTGTTTGTTGAATCTTTCATTTATCTAGCAATGCGGTTCTTTTGATTTGAATTAAAGGTTCGGCCAAACCAACGCGTGCAGATAGCGATCAGATGTTGTGTATGAATTTGTAGCAATGAGTCCACATCAACGCGTCCTGTCATTGGTCGCGGCGATATATTCACGCGCAGTGATTACCCCCGCCATTGCCATCGCCGACGCGACCTGCACGCGTTGGTTTGGCCGAAGCTTAAGTTAGTTGTAACGTAAAGTAGTGGCTAAAATGTTTGCTCACATGACATGTGATATACATTTGAGAAATAGTAGGATTCTTTTTAACTCATTAATAACTTTTGCTTGGTTCTTGGTGTCACAAAACCTTGTTTAAATTTCAGAACACAATAAATACTTCAAGGAAAAGACATTTGATGGGACCACTTTGTATGTCCCACACCGCTTGCCTGACGAGGCCATGAACTTGGTGTCAACAAACCCATATGACAGTAGCAAAGTTAGAATATCAGTAAGTACCCAGAGTTTCTTTTATTTATTTATATTAGGGAAACAAACAATTTTGATACATTTGATTTGAATTTGTCTTTGACTCACCTTATGGAAATAACGTATTGAATTTAAGTGCTTAATTTTCTGTTTTAAGCATGAGCGAAAATGTAATATTACGTACTAACACATTTTTTATACCAAGTTACTTTGTTTGTTTTATTGTTCTAAATATCCAACAAACAATAGATCTACTAACACTTGAGTTGCACGGGTTGCACCATCTTACTTTAACTTTAATAAACGTCAAAAATCTGTCAAACTCCATAAAAAACACACCATTTACTGTTAAAGTAAGTTGGTGCAACTTAGCATTAATTATGTTTTATTGTTCGAGTTATATCAACTTCCATTTGATATTAGCACAGAGATTTGATTGCCGTTAAACAACAGAAGGCGAAAACTTCAAATAAAAACTTGACCATGTCAACGGTAATATTGAAATATTACCTGTATTTTCCTGACGTTTCGACCGGGTTGCACCAGCCGTGGTCAGCCTGGTGACCCATTGGTAATATTTCAATTATTACCTATCCGCGGATTTCGTTAAAATCTGTTTCAATTAATTCAATTATGCAACGCGAAAGTTTCAAATTATTTCACTTATGATTCACAATAAAGATGTTTGTATTTGTAACAGATCATATTCCGTCGCACGCGCCGCCTCAGCGAGATGGTTCACATCTACAACGTGCTGTTCAAGCACATAATGAAGGATCTGCAGCTGGTGCGCTTCGGCCGGCAGTACTTCAACGAGCACGCCGCCATACAGATACCGCAGCACAAGCTGGAAGTGTGGCCGGGGTAAGTGGACGCAGCTATAGTCTGGTCGCCGAGCACGTGGAATTTCGTCCAATGACCCCAAGCTATCCATCCTTATCGCTCGCGCGTAATTATATTGCTGTCGCGACTGTGCGACGGGCGCCCGCAGTGAGTGTGCGAGCGCGACAGCAACAAGGTCATTGGACAAAATTCTACGTGCTCGGAGACCGGGCTTTACTAATAGACAAAGAGCTGGTGAATGCACCGACTCCTTGCCAGAAAATATTTTGAGGGTAGCTGCCAAAGCCACGATGACCCAAACTTCATGATGCACCAACATTCTAACATATATTGGGAGCATACGCTGACAAACTTTCAGCTTTTATAAAATGATGTAGGTCTGGCGATCACTAGCTCTTAGCCTATAATTCACATCTATAACGTGCTGTTCAAGCACATAATGAAGGATCTGCAGCTGGTGCGCTTCGGCCGGCAGTACTTCAACGAGCACGCCGCCATACAGATACCGCAGCACAAACTGGAAGTGTGGCCGGGGTAAGTGGACGCAGTAGGATTATTAAAAGGGACTAATACAATCCTTAAAAGGGACTAATACAATCCTTAAAAGGGAGTAATACAATCCGGTCAATTTAATAACTGCGCACCAGGCAGCCGTGACATCACATCGACGCACTATGGAGCGAAATTGAGATTTATGGACATAGCGATTTTTTTCACAATTTCTATTTGAAAAAAATACCTATCGATAGGTTACGTTATTCTGATGAATAAATGCTTCACAAGTTTTTCTCTAAAACCAACAGTTTGACTGGAAAAAAATATTTTCCATTTTCGTTGTATGGAATGAAACATAAAGTGGTCGATTTCGACTAAGCCTTGACAAAGTATCAATCATGGTATACCTACATAAATATTAATAATTCGTCCTAATAAATAAGTAGGTAATTAGTAATTATTATTCTGCTTTTTAGTGTAGGTTTTTTGGAGTCGGTTTTATTTTTTTTTATAAGTTTATTAAAATGTGTTTTTAGCAGTAATTTAAGGTTAATTTACATTATTAACGTATAAAATCTTTATATTTTTGTTAAATCTTAAAAGATATTCCAAAAAAAAGTCACTTTTACTTACTTTTTTTTAATTTTTCAGAACCTCATAACTTGTGAACGGGCAACTTTGGATGCGCGCTGATAGCGTAGGATTACAGTCAACAAGCCATAGAACAAGGCTTAAGTAGTTTCAAAGCAAGATCTGTCAAGGCTTAGTCGAAATCGACCACTTTATGTTTCATTCCATACAACGAAAATGGAAAATATTTTTTTCCAGTCAAACTATTGGTTTTAGAGAAAAACTTGTGAAGCATTTATTCATCAGAATAACGTAACCTATCGATAGGTATTTTTTTCAAATAGATATTGTGAAAAAAATCGCTATGTCCATAAATCTCAATTTCGCTCCATAGTGCGACGCTCTGATATGGACGGGGCGAACGCAGGGAGGTTTGCGGATAAGTGGGAGGGAGAGTCGCATTCCAATGAGGTGCGCAGTTAGCTCGGTTCGGGTTGTAGGCTACTACAACATAATAGTATAGTTAGCAATAGTTGCACTACTAGTACAGACACCCGTTTCGTGTGGAAACTAGTCGCCCGCGCGAGTTTCAGCGTAGGCCCTAAGGTTCCTGATAAAGTTTTGGATAGATATCATCACTATCTAACATGTAAACGTTGCTGGTTTCCGATGATATAAATGATACTAAATGCAAATCTGTGACATGAATGAAACCGAAAGTTTTTTGAAAGATACATAATTATGTTACCACAAGCACAAGTCTGCTTTACCCGTCTGTCTCAAGACCCGTGATTATCTATTTTAATTGTAATGGAACGGAAAAGTTTTTAATTTTATATCCTGTATTTTTCGGAGAAAAGTGTTAAAGGCAGATCCACTAAGTAGACTCCGGTGCTCCGTTATTCGCATTAAGTGGGAAGGAAGCCTTCACTAGCACAGTCACAATTTTATTTTATATCCTACCTATTCTAACCTCTGAGTATTATTTATCTTCCACATTCCACAGCTACGTGACCGCAGTCGACGAGTACGAAGGCGGTCTCATGCTGACCTTGGACTCGACTCATCGGGTCCTCCGCACCCAAAGCGTGCTATCCTTCATCAAGGAGATGGTTCAGGCCCAAGGCGCCAATTGGAAACGGGCTATGAACGAAACGCTCGTCGGCTGTTCTGTCATGACGACGTATAACAAGAGACTGTTCCGGTAAGTGTGAAAAAGTTTATTGCAGAACAAGGGCAATCGCACCATAAGTTGAGTTTAATTCAATGAAGAATGTTCACTAATTTTGTTTTTTAGCTTTCTGTATTCTCTGTTAAAAATAAAAAATACACGTGAAAGAATTATTTCGATACGTCAATTAGTTTCCAAGATATTGAATTTTAAAAGTGCAGGCGGCGGCCGGCCCGCCATTTTATGCGCGTGACGTCATATTACAACGACTGGCTCATATTTGTATGGGTGGAATCTTGCAAACTGAATTAAGACCNAAGAAATACCAAGCCTTAAGTAAATACATAATGACGAGTGAAATAGGATATGCAGGCAATAGGTGTATCGTCAACTAGAAATCATTTTCCTGGAACACCGAATGCAAACCCAATCGTATCCCGAATATTTTCGGTACAAATAAACAGTGTGCGTGTTTTACAAAGTAAAATATTAAATTGTGAAGCAAGCAAAAAAATTTCAATTAACACATGCTTTAAAAGTTTGTACGTGGATTGAATATTGTCAAGTTTCGAGTTATTTATGCATAACAATTTAATGATGACACGTTTGTTGACGTGTTGAAAGTAGAGATGTGCCGACTACGCATCAAACTTAACTCGATAAAGTTCGTAGTTGAAGGCGAATATTCGTTTAAAACAACTAACCTTTGTTGGGGATTCTGGATTTATAGAACAGTAGCTTTTTTGGTAGACACAATCAGGTCTTTTACCGCAGGATATTAAATGTCAAGTGTCATGAAATCTAGGGTGGTAAAACCTATTTATTATTGTCTGAATTCTTAAGAAGATTATTGCTTTTCGAGCCATTGGTCGAAAAAATTGCCAATACACGTCATTACATGTCCTTAGTTTTCACAACACAAAAGATTCAGGGAGCGCTACGGAATATAACAATATAGGAGCACACTAACCTGTAAATAGTTCCAAGAAGGTAAAATAATTATGTCGTGTAATTACTCCGCACGTTCTCCGAAGTACACGATGATGATAATCACTTCAATTGTCGACATAATCGACTCGCCGTTTGGTTGGTAGGTACATCTCTAGTGTGAAGTAAGCAATTTAATGATGTGCGGATGTAAATGCTCCTGAAAAACATGCAATATTGGATTTGTTTGATAAAATCATTTAAGTAGGTAAGTTAGTACGATTATGACAAGTAAATAAATTGGTGCGGAACCGTAGAAGATCGGAAAAAACGAAACTCTTAAATGATAACTCACGTATCTGTCACAATCAATTTCCTCATAACTTGGAACTTGGTGGATAGAATCAATAAATATCGAATGTAGTATTTTTGTGACCAAGTAGACGTTTTACGAATGCGTGTTATTTTATTTAAGGGGATCAAAGGACAAGGTAAAAAATACTCTATTGTGATACCTCCCACGCTATATTATTTTGTTTACGGCGAAAGGGTGGGTAACTTTCAGAATTTATGCCATTTTTCTTCAAAGGGATGAAAACATTTTTTATGCACTGATTTTAATGTCCGTACTTTTTTATCATATCGCAACACTCATCGACTTTCAGCGAATATGTTTTACAGTTTTTGATAATATCAGATGAACCATGCTATTGAAACCATGATGTAAATTAAAACAGCTTATAAACTGCGTGTAAGCCGATAGCCGACAGAGCGCGGACGCTACATTTTGTATTAAAATCGCTCAATACGCTCAACGTGGTCCGTCAGAACGACATTTCGTGTAATTTGCATTTTTTGCCTTCGCTTTTTATGAATATTATCATTATAATTAAAAATAGCATTTTAATTCCTCTCACATTTTTCCTCTTAAATCTGAATAACTCGTGTGAATTTCTAGGAAATGTGTCGCTGAAATAAAAATACACAACGTTGTCTTTGCTGTGGAAGGCGCGTAAAAAGTAGATTTGTATAAGTCGTACTGTTCATTTTCTTTCTACGAAGTATGTATGTCAGATTTATTTATAGATACTTGATAAAATTAACATAGTTCAGCACTTTTTATAATGCGAACAGAGGGCTGAGTGTGAGCTTACATCAAGTAGTAAGCGCGTAAAAAAATAACATTAAATGTATGACGGATTGTTCAGCGCCCCTAGCGGAAACTTTCAAGAACTAAAAATTTCATGTAAACTCAAACTAAGCCCTCAACTAGGGACTGGAATTCACTGCTGGCTGCTGTCTTTCCCGGACACTACAATCCAGGCTTTTCAATGCAAGAGTGAATAGGCAGGCATTTACAGGGCAGGTATTTGGTGCATACCTACCTACACGGCATCTCACTTAACATCAGGTGCGATTGCGGTCATATACTTGCCTTGTTCTGCATAAAAAAGTTACCTAATTTGAATTCTATCACGATATGTTTGCGTTTGAACTAGAATAGCCGCTTACCTCAAATAAAAACAAAACTAGGGACCAGTTTCATGGCCTTTCCTTCACGATTTATTCCCGGTCGTTGCTTGGTAAAACAACACCCATTACAATATACAATATTATCAGGAGCCATAATATCCGGATTCCCCGTTAAATATAAACTTTCCCGTGCGCAAACTGACTCGTGGCTTATCCACAAACCAATCTCGTAATTGATTTTGATTAAGGGATTATTTTAATTGGTGTACGAAATTATAGGGCTACGATTCACTAGCTTATAAATTATAATTATGAGGTTAAGGTTTCCCTGTAAAGTAGGTAGGTATGACTAGTTGGAAAGGTCATGTTAGAGCGTTGTTTCACTAATTGGGAGATAGTAAAAGTTGGAGAATGTTTAAATGAAGTTCCATCTACACCAAAGAGAATAAAATTTTACTAAATTTTTCATAATATTTTTTTGAGCTTTGCGGCGAAAGAGCCTCATTCTCTTCTTGTTGAATTTTCAAAGATTCGGTTATAAAAATAACGGCAGTTACGTGTCTAAACGTAACCATCCTAATTTAGCGGTCACATACCTAAGACTATAAGTTTTTTTATTTAAAATATTATTTTACATATTATGTGGTAGGTTTTATACAAACACTTGCTGTGCCCCGCGTTGTTACTCGCGGTAAAACGTAGCCTATGTGTTAATCCAGGGTGTTAGCTAACTCCATACTTACCAAATTCTATTAACCGCTTGAGTCCCAGACGGCATTAATTAATGTCATAACAATTGATTATCTATTGTGTCTAGATTCGCGGGCCTTGAAGGATTAAAATCTCTACAGCCGTTTAGACGTGAAGAAGAAACAAACATACACACTTACAAACTTTAGCCTTTATAATATTAGGGTGATTATACCCACGCGAAGCCGGAGCGGGCCACTAGTTTGACATTTCATAACCAATTCCTTACACTTAATAGAACTAAAAATAAGTATTGCGTGATAGACTAGACATTCATCAATATGTCCACTAGACTTCAACGTAAATACCCTTTTAGCTACGTAGAATGATTAAATAATAATATAATGGGTAACGGGCAAAGTGATGACATGAAATCTCTTTAGGAAATTGCTGAAGATACTTCTCTTTAGTCTCGAGTTTGCATAATGAAATACTGTATTAGAGGGAGGGAGGCCAAATAAGGACACTTTAGCACCTTTTGAGAAAGAGTTTATCGTGGCGTTTCTTTAGACTGATCTGCATAAGGCGGCAAAACGTCGTTAAAACGAAGCACTTGCGAAAATATTAGAATAACCTCACTTTTGGAGACCTCACTTTTAGGAGGGAGGATAATGTAAAGGCGTTGACTTTTTTAGGTTATTTGCCTTAGCTTATAAAGACACAAAATATGCCTTTGTTACATAATCAAGATATCTTAGAATCTTGATTATGTAACAAATGGTATTTAATCAGAAATACATTAGATGTAAGATCCAACATAGAACTCAGTTGATACATACGGGTATGCAAAGGTAAATGACGCATTATCAGGACACAAACTACGAAACGTTAAATATAAAAAGAAATAAAAGATAACTAAGTATGATTTCATTCGTAGTTAATAAGCTTTGAGATACAATTAACCTCGTATAAAAAGTACTTTATTTAACTTCCATTATTATTTCATATCACAGTAACTACGTTGAAAGTTAATCTTTATTAAATGGCAACAGAAGTGACGGTTGCGCGTCAAGAGGCGTCGTTGGTCCGTTACGAGCAAGGAGCGGGCGTTTACGGATTTTCCGGATTTTGCAGATTTTCCGGATTTTGCAGCAACAGCCGTAATCCGCGGGCACGGCGTCGGGCCATGTCCCTTCGGGCGGCGATTAAATTGTTTTAGTTCATCGTGCGATAGTGTTCTTATACTCATAACTAGGATGGTAGCACTGAAAGTGTTAACATTCGTTTATCACAGGACACAATTTATAAGCAAAACTAGCGGCCGCTCGCGACTTCGTACGCGTGGATCGTAGGGGTGGAGTTTCGTAAAAGTCAGTCAGTCAGTCAGTCACCTTTAAGTTTTATATATTTAAATGTTTGTAATTACAGCTATCAAAAAATTAATAATAAGTTAAATGAGTTGACTTGTTACATGTAGGTAAACGTATTATGTTCTATTCTAGCTCCTATGTTTCCAAATCTGTTAAGGTACCTAATTATGAATGGAAAGGTATTCCTTTACGACGAACTTCATTCTAGTCGTAGTTATTCACTCATTATAGGAGTATTAAAGATTTATTAAAAAACAGGACTTATTCTTGTGAGAAAATACTTGAACTGTTATTGCACACAGCCCAAGTGGAAACTCAAGAACATTATTAATTTTTTTCGCAATAAATGTAACTCAACTCTTCTAGCTTCGGGCTAATTTAACTTCGCCCTTGGTCCGTCTCTAATGCCCGAACTTCCGAAATGAACCGAGTGATAATCCTAAAAATATGACACAAAAAACTTCCAGAAATCCCAGATTCAATGAGCAAAAAACAGAAAGATCTGTTTAACTTCGAAATGGGTTTCCGCGGTAACCAAGAAAAGTTTCGCCTTGCTCCGTCCTGATGTATTTTTGCA